CACACACACACACACACACACACACACACACACACACACAATCTATCCTTTGCTTATATGACCCTGAGTAAATGATGTTAGAGAACTTTAGGAAGATATTAAAACATATTTGAATTTCCAAAGTATTTTGGGCAAGTTCATCTAGGCTGACTGTTTACACTATCCATCTCCGTCATTGTTTAATCTTTAAATACTACATGTATTTTACCTGATTACAAAATAAGCACTCTTGATGGAAAAGGTACCCAGCCTGGTTTCCAGACACATTTTTAAACCATGTTTATTTTCATATTATAATCTAAGGTGTGTGGGTAGTGGGGAGAAAGAGAGAAAGGGAGATATTTTTTGCATATACATTCCATTTACCTTGAAAAATAAGGAGGACCTCATAAGTCACCTTTGTGACTTTCAGCACTTTGGGCAATTGAATTCAAGTAATTTAACAGATGATTTAAAAAAAATATTCTTAAAAATAAATGATAGCTTGTGCTAAGGTTGTGGCTCAGCGGTAGAGCGCTCACCTAGCACATGAGAGGCACTGGGTTCAATCCTCAGCACCACATAAAAATAAATAACTAAAATAAAGGTATTGTAGCCAACTACAACTAAAAAATAAAAACTTTTAAAATATGATAGCTTTAACTACTATTTTATATATCAAACTCTAGCTCTGAGACACAGAAAATTCCTCAGCCTCCCTTCCCATATACCTGTCCTTTTCACAGTCCTCCAGCAGGTTCTCTGATCAGATCTTCCAAAAGAAGAAAAGGTTTAAGATACTAAAATATGTTTATAGTTCATACTGAAACTGCTCATTTTGATATACAAGCAGGCCACACACAAAAAAAAAAAAGAAAAAAGAAAAAAAAAAACCTAAAAACCCTTTATCCTGAAAAAAAATTTAGATGACATAGGGCTATGATAATAAAAAGAATAAAAAAGATTAACAAAACCAAATAGTTCTAACATTCTAAAAATCCATCAGTTTGCAATGCTTTCGTACATGGTTCTCTTTTCATAATTAACTCATTTTTAAGCAAACATATATAATGGTTTATTATCAGTATTAATGTCTTAAACATTAAGGTGAATGCAGTCTTGTTTGGATTACTGAAGAAGAAAAAGAATTTCCTGGAAGTATTTCTACTCTGTTTGTTTCAGGCTAGTAAGAATGCTAGCTACATTATCAATGAACTTTTTGTATTGTCTCTTTCAATTATAAACAAAAGCAAAATCAAGGAAAGCTCTGGTCTTTATAGACATTAGTAAGTATATATGGGCACTTTAGTGGCTCTGGCTCTGAGGCAATACTTACTGCTGTGTTTGCATCAGGGGCATATTCGTGCTATCGTAGCTGTCTGTGTGTAGAGGAGGAATGATCTCCCCAGTTACGGGGTGAAACACAGGAAGCGTCGACAGGGGCCATGCAATCTCTCTGTTCTTGGACATATCTCGTAGCTCCTTTGTAGATTTCTGAATAGCACTATGATGGACCAATTGGATGCTATGTCAAAAGAAAAGAAAAACAAACAACAACATATATTTAAAATCATATATTAGCCTGATACTTCATCAATTTAAAAAAGTTATAAAAATGCTTTTTCTTCTAAAATAACAAGACATTATTGTTCTTTGGGCATTTTATACATCTCACATACTTTTAACAGAGCAGAACTGAAAATTACAAACTGATTCTGAAGTAATCTCAAATTAAACTAATCTATGAAGCACTGTGTTCATATTACAGCCCTTAGTAACAAACTAGTTTTCTATTTAGTTTCTATGATTAAGATATAACTACAATAACTTTTATTTTGTGGCTTCTGGTGGGGCATTTATAAATACTCACAGAAGTTTCATTTTATAGTAGGTTATTACTGTAGATTCAGGAAAACTTGTATGAAAGGTCTTTTCGTCTGTTCTCTGGTTTATAGAAATGCAGATTGGGAAATCACATAATATAAATGGCAAGTTAATATTCTGAATCTGAAGTATTTTAGGTTTAACTTTTTATCTAGGTAAGCTTAGTTTTCAAACCCTTTTTATGTTTATTTTCTATCCCTCCTAAATATCTCTATTTAGAAAGCAGCTTTCACATTCATAAAATAAACTATGAAAGATGATGAATGAAAAAAAAAGCATGACACACATGTATGGAGCATGATGGGCAATGGAGAAGTGGAAAAAATGATAAGAACAGGAAAGAAGACACTTACTCTGGTGTTTGCATGTTTCTCTTTTCCCTAGAAACAAAACAAAATTTATGAATTAAATAATAGCATTGATATTTGGAACATTAAGACTATATGCTCATGGAATCTTGCATGATGTGGAAATGCTGACAGTGTTACTTTTAAATGCAACCAGGCAGCATTTGCCACCAGGTTTATGATATTACTTGGATGAATACACACACAGCGATGGAATACTGATGAGAAACACACAGAAAATGAAAAAAAAAATGGAGATTAAGAATCAAGCTCTTGATTGAAATAAATTCTATGACATAATGAAATCAGGCTATATGTAAAAATGGAAGAACTTGTTACTTGCTGCTTTATTAATTTTTTATCCTTTGCTTTGTTACCCTGACTTTCAGATAATCTCAGGAGGTTACCTTAATTGACATAAATGTCCTCAAAGTACTAACTATTCATGAAGACTCATTACTCAAATTTTAGCTTATTTTTCTTAATTAACTCCTAAACTGTTTTTTAAAAATATATTTTAAACATTTAGATTGTGACACCCTGTTTGACAGCAGAATGATTTCAAGAATGCTGACCATCACTCTGATCAAACTAAGACAATTCGTTTATTTAAAGTGCAATTACCATGTCAATAGATTCCACAGTCTCTGCTCACAAAAGATGGCTTGTGTAACCAAAGTATCTAGTCTCAATTATTCTTGGGACTGTTTTGCCAGCATGAATTTATATCTAGCCTTAATAATTTTTGAATAAAGTAATTATGGGCCCTAATTTGGTTTACTAGACTCAAAACTATTTTAATTCATTTTAAAGGAATAAAGTACTACAGTTTGACTTGAACACAATTTCAATTCATTTATAAAGTATTACATGAACTAAATGAAACTTTGCTCTTAATGGAATCATCTAGGTTGCTATCTTAGCAGGCTCTCTAATTTTTTTATTAGTGTTTTAAAGTACTCACACGCCTTCCCGTCGGCAGCACATGATATAAGCAAGTATTAGAAAAAGGACCAGTGCTACTGCCGAGGGCACAGCCAGTGTAATTAGGAAATCCGTGTAATAGTCTCTGCTTTTCAAAGAATCAGAAGGGGGTTTGTACTCTCCACCATCAGGCAAAATCCCCTCTCCACGAATCACTTCCTGATAAGTGGACACTTGCTTTGTTTTATCAACCTGATACAAAAGAAGACAATTATACACCAAATTAATAGCTGCAAACATTAATGAGATTTTTAAGATCTAGACACACCAAAACATTCTTTGACAAATTACCTTAAAAAGCCATCTTTTCCAATTATGTTATCACCGTGAATTTCCAATTATTTATTGGAGTCAGGGAGAGATAATGAATGAAAGTAATAAAGGCTTTATCTTGGCCTATTTTCTGCATAATTCTCTCAACATATATACATTTGCCTCACGTGTAGACATACATAATAAATGTATGTACATGTGTGTGTAATTTTCTGTTTCCTCCAAAGCAGAAGTTCTTTACAGTACTGTGTAAATTTCTTGTTTTCTAGTGACAAACCTCAGTGCAGATGTTAACAAACCACAAAATGGCTGATGAACTGGTATGAAGGTTTAGTTTCTAGGGTCAATCAGTGAAAGAGAGGAAGAGAAAAGAAAAACAAAAAGGATAGTTTTCCAAACTGTTCTTGATCTTTCTGCAACCCAGCTGACACGTTTTTAGAAAAGATAGTTATGGAATGTGAAACCCTTCCAATGCTATAGTTTTACTAAATTCTATCCCAGGATCCAAGAAATGCAGACTTGCATTATGTTAATTTACCTCCATGTTAATGAAACTGCTTTCACAACAGAGTTGTATTTAATGATAGTATGGTTTTTAGTAAAGGGTGTTAAAAAGGTACCTGTGTAAAATCTGTTGCAGCATTTGCTACCATAAAAAAATGTTGGGGAGAATTATTTATGGCATTACTTAATATCCTCTCCCAAAAGAGTACACTTGAAGAATTTTGTTAATAATGCAATGCTTTATTTCTGCCAAGGAATTGATGTTCTGTGTCCTTCTTAAGAATGGAAACTAAATAACTGATGAATTTCCTTTTTAAAAAAATATTTTTAGTTATACATGGACACAGTATCTTTATTTTTTTAAATTTATTTTTATTTGGTGCTAAGGATCAAACCCAGTGCCTCACATGTAAGAGGCAAGTGCTCTGCCACTGAGCCACAACCCCAGCCCTGAATTTCCTTTTTTTATCCTGGACATTAGTATACTTGTTTTCAAACATGACTTTACTATCTATTATAAAGTTTATGTCCCAATATTATCATTTTAAAATTCTCTATTTATTATATTTATTATATGACTTTTATTTAAGCCTTCTGAAATCTTTTGTGGCATATAAACAACTACATGTAAAATTAAAAAATGAAAATTCCCAACCTTTCCATTATCGTAAAAACTAAAATCTTCAAAGCATAAGTCATTTTTAAGCTTTCAGAAATCAGATAATATTTCTACACATAGGCTCATGTTACAACCCCAAGTAAAATAGCATTGCTAGGGTCTGCCTCTGACTCTGTCGAGAGGAATCTATTTAAGTTATGATAGCAGCTGCTCAGTCCTTCACACCCTTGTTTGTTTAGCACCAAGACTGAGTTTTTCAAACTCAATATTTGCCTCTAATGCACATAAACCATAGCAAGAGAACAATTTAATTTGATTTAAGAAGGTAAAGGGCATTATTTCTCTAAGATGCCAAGGACATGAGAAGAGTAGTTCAGGGCAAAAGGCCACAGGGAGTGCTAAGTATTGCAACGTGAGTAACATGTTCTCCAGTACTGGAGCCTGGCAAGCTGCCTGCAGTGGGCTCTCTAAGACATGAAGTGACAGTTGTGTTTATGTGTCGATAACTTTGTTCAAATGTCAACTTTAAACTTAGATCTAATTCATTCGCTGCCAATCATAAAGAGCTGACAAAAGTTAAATCTAAAGGTCACAAACAAATTAAGACAACTTTGGTACCTCTCAGCAGGATCACAATATTATAAAGAGATATACAAAAAATACAACTAGTATACACATATAAAAGTATTTTTTATATATATATTTATATAGATATAAAACTTCACATTTTTCTAAATCTTACAGCATGCAAATTAAAAGTGGTATAAAATATAAAAATATTTGATGTTTATGAATTTATTCTTAAGTGTGTAAGTAAGATACTAACTTTCCTCACTTGGAATTGTTTCTTGAACCTTAAACTTTTCACACAATTTGTGTTTCCAGGACATTGAGAACATAATATTGGCTTACTTTCAGATTTATTATAGTACTCCATTCTCTCCCTCCAAAGTAAGGTAGTGGTAGCAAATTTCAGAAGAGACTTTTACACAAACCATGTTGACTCCATAAGCTGTGCTGATTAACAGCAACCTGCAAGTCCAACAGGTTCATTTGGACCACCTGTCAAGCTAATCCAACCTCAGCAACTATTCAAAGGTAAAGTGAGAACAATAATGGAGATACTCTTTCCTAAATGGAGGCAGTGTCAATGAATTTACCAAATCCTTAAAGTCAAGCAAGTCCATTGCAGTTAACAAAGTAAACACAGGATTTGTTTCTAAAAGCTATTCAGGTTTTAGTCAAACATTACGTCCAGCCACATCCCTCCTATCTACATTTGCAAAAATAAAAGTAAGCAAAAACTCACCAATGAAATTTTGCACCAGTCAATGTAAAATTGAGTACGAAATTTTTTATCACAAGTTATTACAGGCTCCATTTCTTGACTGCATCTCAATTGATTCTGTGGATTTTCAACTTCTCGTAAACAAGAAGAAAATGGGACATCGGCACCAACCATGACATAAACACTGTAAAAATGTGAAACTCTCAAGTTATCCTTTAAGAAAATTGAAAACACTGAAAAACAATCTCCCCTGAAAGCAGGATTTATCCTTTTGAATTGAGGGATTAACTAGAATCATCCCTAAGGTAAGAGCCTAGGCTTTAAAAGCAGTGATTCATGTAGGGGCTTCCTTTCAGTCATTCCTCCATTCAACCAATATTTACTGAATGCCTTGGTGTACCAGATACTCTCTGCATTCTACATTAATTTCCAGAAATTTTATTTCATCCTTTTTATTTCATTCAAAATAGTCGTGGTCATATTCTGACTACTATATTTCATAGACTACTTACATTAAAAATATTCTTAAGCTGAATTGTTTAGAAAATTAACTATCACTAAAATAATAAATAATTATAAATAAAACATTTTTACTTGATTTCAATATATATATATAGTAAGATTGTGAAATGGCATCCCTGGAGATATTAGGCTCCAATCATGCTTTGTTATTCTACTCAACCATCCTGTCCATTTTCACAGTACACAAACCCCTAACACTTGGTCTCTTGTTATGAGACCTTCTCTAAATCATTTATCTAAAAACTTAAGAACTGTTGTTTGGTAATTACAAACAAGAAAAACAAAGTTTATATTTTTGGTGTGTATCTTAGCAATGATGACGAAAGAACTCTACTTAAATGACATGATTTCATAATAAAACAGAATGTAGTTATCAATAGCATTTAAATAATCTTGAAACAGTTTGAAAATATGGAATCTCACTTGCCATTCAAAGGAAAGAAAAAAACAAGAAATTACTCTAAATAAATATTATTTATTTTCTTAATGTTTATAGCTAATTATAAAATGAAATAAAACTATTAAAATTGTAGCTATCCTTTTTGCAGAAATTTACAAACTTACCCTAAAATTCACATGAAAATTTCAAGAAACCCAGAGTTGGCAAAAAAAAAAACCAAAAATGTGACTAAGAAAAATAAATTTAGAGGACTCATAATTGATGATTTTAAAACTTACACAAAGCTACAATAATCAAGACAGTATGGCACTTACATAGAGAAAGACATGATCGATGGACTAGAATTCAGAGTCTAGAAATAAACTCTAGTATTTACTAAACCAATTATCATCACAGATACCAAAACAATTCAATGGGGAAAAATTTTTTTACAACTAATGGTGCTAGAGAAACTACATATTCATGTACAAAAGAATAAAGTTTGACTCCCTATCTCACACCACATATACAAAAATAACTCAAAATAGATCAAAGAAGACCTCTGGTTTCTGATCCAGTAAATAAAAAGCTTGGAAGGTACTATTCCATACTAACAACAAGTTTTTAAAAACTGAACAAATTGAAAAATAAACAATTATTTTTAGATCTATAGGAGAAGAGAGTTCACAAGGCAAACGGCTGCCCCTAAATTTGGAGAGACCAATAGGCAAATACAGAGAATCATACTTTACTGTAGAAGAATCTTGCAAGTTAAAACCTCTGGGGAACCAGTGCTAGGGTAGGAAAACCTGAACTATAATTGACAGAGGCTCATTGTAGAAAAGTCTGACAGTTAAAACTCCAGAGGAATCCAGTTATTGGAAGCCCCTTTCCCTCAGCGACACGTACACACACCTATGTGAGTTTTATCTCCAGGAGCTCTACCAGGTTCTTATACTAATATTCACAATCTGCTTTTGCTTTCAGCAGGAGGAGAAGAAAAATGTATTATGTATTAAAATACATAAAATCCTTCTGTTCTTCTTAACAAGATTTGTCTTTAAGAGAAACTTACCAGAGACTAACCTGCTAGGGATATGTTAGAGCCTAACTGACGGGAAGAGAAATAACCAAATATGACCAGCTCTATCCTTCCACAAAGAAAAAGGTAAATGCCCAATTCCAGGCTACTTCAGCCATTCTGTCCAACATAAAGTGTAGTTCACGTGAGAGGCCCAGGTGATAGTCACAGTTCAGAGACATAAGCTCATTAAAAGACTAAGAAATAACCCATGACTATAGAATGGTTCCCTGCCACCACACCTCATTACTAAAGGCCGTAATTTATTTCTATTTACCCAACATTAGTCCAGTTATCAAGAAAAAAATTACAAAATTTACTAAATGCATAGCTTGAGGGGACTGAATAAGCATCAGAAACACACTCTCAGAGATGTCAGGAATGCTGAGGTCATCAATATGAAATCAGAACAACTACTACTAATATGCAAAGAACTCTAATGAGTAAAGTGGACCGGCCTTGTAAGAAATGTTAAAACAAGTTGGTTAGAGCGACAGAATATGATATAGGTCAGAAACTCAGAATGCTTATAAAGAAAAGTGGGGCATCAGAAAAGGAATAAGTGAAGCTAAAATAAAAACTTTTGTTTTTATTATTCTTAATTGATACAATAGACAATAACTTGTTCAAAATAATAATAGCAACAATAATGCTTATATATAGCTAAGTGTGTATGGGTGCTTATATATAAACAAAATGGTTGAAAGCTATGTTACAAGAGATGTGAGGGAGGAACAGGGAATATTTTATTATTGTAAAATATTTGTACTATCATGAAGTTTTACAGTGTTACCTGAAAGTGGACTTGGATTAGTTGTACATACATACTGCAAGTTCTAAGGCAACCACTAAAAAAGGGAGAAAAAGAAGTACAATATGTAGGAGGAGAAAAAATGGCTAAGACTGGAGGATTGAGAGTTCAAAGCCAGCCTCATGCTAACTCATTGAGACCGTCTCAAAAAAAAAAAAAAAAAAAAAAAAAAAAAAAAAAAAAAAAAAAAAAAAAAGAGAAAAAAAAAAAAAAAAAAAAAAAAAAAAAAGTAGGGCTGGGGATGTTGCTCAGTGCTTAAATGGCCCTGAGTTCAATCCCCAATAACAACAACAACAAAAAAAAAATCCCAATTAAAATTTTAAAAAGTAGAAAACAAAAATATGAAAACGAATAAGGGCAACTAATAGAAATATAGTAGATAGTAATTTAATTAATAGTTATTTTAAATAGCAATGGTCAAATTCACCATTTGGGACAGATTGCCAGAGATTTTAAAAACAAAATACAATTATATATTGTCTATAAGAAATCTATTTTAACTATAAAAACACACCAATGAAAGTACATGGGTGGAGAAAGATATGGCATGCTAGCACTAATGAAAAGAAAGTGGGAATGAGGCTGGGAATATAACTTAGTAGTAGAACATGCACTTACTAGGCACTGGGTTTAATTCTAAGCACAAAATCAACAAACAAAAGGAGGAATAGCTATAGCAAGGAAAGTTGTCATGGGGGAAAAATGGGTATTACCTACTAAAAAAGGCATCAATTTTCCAATAATATAAAACAATCCTTAATGCATTTTGTTAAATAATAGACTTTCAACATACATGAGTCAAAAACTGATAAAAACTGCAAGGAGAAATGGATGAATTCACTATGATAGAGATTTCCATATTCTTCTATCAGAAAGAATACTGCTGGACACAGCCAGCAGGTGGAAAATCAGTACACACATAGTTAAGCTCAACATCATCTATTAAATTAAATAGATATCCATAGAGTATGCCATCTAATAACAACAGCAACAAACATTCTTCCCTAGGTCACATGGAACATTCACCAACATTCTGGGCCATAAACACACCTAAAAAAAATTGAAAAAAATAGATAGCATGCAATATCTGCTCACAGATCCCGGCAGAATTAATTAGATATTAAGATAAAAAAATAACTAGAAAATTCTAAAGTACTTGGAGATTAAGCAAACACACTTCTAAATACACATGTATCAAAGAAGAATCTTAAGAGAAATTTTTAAATATTTTGAATTAAATGAATTGAATGAAAATAGAACCAACATATATCAAAATTTGTGGAATGCAGCAAAAGCAATACTTGGCAATGAATTATGGCATAGAAAGTATATATTAGAAAAAAGAAAGACCTAAAATCAATTAGCTAAGCTTTTAGCTTAGGGAACTAGGAAAAGAACAAAAGGTTAAATCCAAAGTACAGAGAAGAAACAATAAAATTAGAGAAGGAAGTTGGGCATAGTGGCACACGCCTACAATCCTAGAGACTTGGAAGGCTGAGACAGGAGTATTGCAAATTCAAGGCCAGCCTCAGCAATTTAGCAAGGTCCTAAGCAATATAGTGAGACACTGTATCAAAATACAAAATACAAAAGGCTGGGGATGTGGCTCAGTGGTAAACTGCCTCTGGGTTCAATTTCACTATCAAAAAGAGAGAGAGGAGAGAAAGGAAAATGGGGAGGGATTAATTAAACTGAAACAGCTAGTTCTTTGGGGGGGGCAATAAAACTGATAAGCCAGGAAAACTGGAAAGAGAGAGAATTTCTAATACCAAAAATAAAGGACAGACATCATTAGAGATATTATGAGTATAAAATAATAATCAAAGAATATCACGAACAACTCTATATCCACAAAATTGATAATTCAGATGAAATAGAAAAAGTCCTTGGTAGAAACAACCTGTCAAAACTCATACAAGGAGAAATAGACAATATTTACAGGTTTTATCAAGTAAACAAATTGAATCAATAATTAATGAGCTTCCAAATAAAAAAGAACCAGGCCTAGAGGGGTTCATTATTGCATTCTTCCACATGTTTAAGGAAGAAACTGCGCAAATTCTTGAAAATCTCCCAGAAGACTGAAGTCAAAAGAATATTTTCTACACCATTTTTTTTGGCTTAAACAACATAAATTTATATCTCATAGATTTAGAGTCTGGAAAATGTGAGACGAGGGTTCTACACCATTTTTTAAGGCCTACATTTTAATACTAAAATCAGACAAAGACATTATAAGAAAACAAAAGACCAATACCTCTCATGAAAATAGATACAAAATTCTCAACAAAATATTAGCAAATTGAGTCCAATTTTGTTTAAAAGAAATTATAAACAATGACCAAGGAGTTATGCAAGGTTAGTTCAATAATTGAAAATAGATCGATATGA